CTGAATAGCGGATTAGCGACTGTTCAGGGTTGGGCATGTTGAAAGAGCTAACAGCAACGGCATACTGCAATCCATCTGCAATTGAAATCGGTAGCAAATCAGTACGCGTAATTAGTATAGTAAGAGTGAACGAGCAAGGGGAAGATCAATGAGCAAGGGGAAGCTTAGGATCAACTGCTTATTTTCCCGTTGCAAAGTCACCAGACGGAAGATGTGGAAATTCAAATTCAGCGATCGATTCAAAAAATCCATTAAAAATGAAGAATAAACTTGCAAATTTCGGGGATTTAGCTATTAAATTGTTAAAAATTGTCACATTCAAACAAAGGGGGTGCAGAAAAGGTCTTTTGAGCTGACAAGGCGAGGGAGGTGGAAAGAGGCGAGATAGAACTTCATGCATAATATCCTTTTCATTATTTCAATTGCTACAACATATAATAAGTAAGTGATGGAGTCATACCTCGATACGGAGTTTGAGGAGCCTCTGACGTAGCCAAGGCAGAGGCAAAAATCACGAGCAGGAAGACAGTGGAGCTTGGTGTAAATGTCGTACAGTGCATGTTTTCAAAATACTGCCCTAAACACCAACGAATTAACAAAAAATAATGTAGAAAAATTCAAGCATAGTCGGGCTGCAGAAAAGAAAGAGGTCTGGAGCTCACAGATTTGAATAAGAAGTAAAAAAAGAAGTGGACTGTGGATGCAACTTTTTGAAAAAAGAATCACGATTTCAACCTGCCGTATAATAATTTCAAAATTATGTGTGCGAGAAAGAACAGCAGTTAGGCTGGCTGTGTGACGCGACAAAAGGCGTAACGGCAAAGCGGATTAATGAATGTTGTACGTGTACTCAACCAGAACTCACAAGCTTCATTTCGCTCTTTTGTAATTTTGATAGTGAATTCTGCATTTTCTGTTGGCAACTGACCACAGCGAATGGGGTGCATTTGCTCTTCATAGCTAACCAAGAGTTCAGCAGTTCTGTTTTTAGCAGGATTCTTCTTTCTTGAACCGCCTCTGCCTTCCTTTCACGATTGTAGCCTTCAAGATCTTTCTATACCCTCTGTTTAGTGGGCCTGCAGAGAAAGAAGTACCCAAGATTTGTTTTTTATCCCTTTTCATGTTTCTTCTTTTCTCTAACAGCATTTTCGTAGCTACGGAAAACCTCGAATTTGTTTTACCAAAGCAATATCATGCAACTAAACGTCCAAAACATAAAAAAACGCATCGCTTTTTAGAATTTAATCCAATTTTTTGTGCGGGAATAAACCAGAAACCGAAGCATTAAAAACCGTTTTGAGAATCCAGCAGCCTCAAAGTCTCGCCAGCAGTGCCTGTCACCATCTGTGGTGTGCGGTGGATTAAATGACTGCGTTGTTAGGAGAAATCGAGGGGTATACAACAACACGTCTGCCTCGTAATTGTACTTTTTTTAAAACCTTGTGACTTTTGGCCAGAGAAATCAGGAAAATTGTTATGGCAGGCTTATAAATCACTTGATAAAAGAGCTGAATTCCTGTCTGATACCACACCAAGCGAGACAACAAAAGTTTACATACGTCAGCTATCCGGCCTTTATAAAATGTTCCGCAAATAAGGTTTTAAATCATTCTATCTCTCTCGGAAAACCACGAGCCTTTCGGACGCCTGATCCTTTTCCAGCAAAAACGTCCCATTCCACCCGGTCTCCCTTTCTACACTGTCAGTTTACGCTGCATTAGTACTAGTTAAATAATTTTCGCTTTGAGTACATTGCAGGAAATATGCTCAACATGGGAACAACATCATACGTCACACTCTGTGTGCTTTTGGTTTCAACATCCGCTCTGACTACCACAGAAACCCCCGCACATTCAGGTATAAGAGCGATTATTTGCATATTATGACAGTTCTTGTTGAAGTTAATAAACTTGAACTTCGTGGAGCACAATTCGCTGTCCAAGTCCACTGAGATTCAATGTTTTTGCAAACAGTCGAAAACTCTTACGCCGTGTCATACACAAAATTTCATCCTTTTGGACCGATCCACACAGAAAAGCACTAAAGCACACTGATGTTTGCTCTTCAAAAGCCTCATCGAGCGCAGCTGAAAGCATTTTACGGCGAACAAAAATAACAGGTCCGATTTTGCAGGATCTATGAAACATCCAAAATGAAAAACGTAAGCTAACTGGTACTCTGCTGTATTGTATGCAGATAAAAAGATTAAAATTTTTCAATTCTTTGCTTTTTTCACACAAACACAATTTTTTCTTTGATTGATTTATCAGAACACACACACACACACACCTACATATACACATACACATACACACACACACGCACAGACAACTTCTTGATACGGTGTTTTTGCGTTTACACCAATATCCAAAAGCGTGTAAAAAGGAGTAATAACAAATGTGACTGTTTTACAGCTTAAATTTTCACAAAACACAAAATATGTCAATTGCAATTTTAATCGGTTACATTGATTTTGATTATAGTTCATTCTGGACCAAGTGATAGTTCAATTGCCACTGAAAACTCCGACAGAACCATACGTCACGAGGACTATATTTTGGATCCTAAAGAATTGGAAAGCCTTCCCTCGTTAAGTTTTCCTGCTATTTTTTTTTTTT